TTTTGCAACAAGATGGTGCACCACCTCATTGGGGTATCATCGTTCGTAGTTCTTTGAATGACCATTTTCCAGGATGATGGATTGGGCGAGGAGGTCCAATTCCTTGGCCACCCAGATCGCCTGATTTTACGCCGCTGGACTTTTTTCTTTGGGGATTTATAAAGGACAATGTTTACAGGAATATCGTGTCGAACATTGATGACCTAAAAGCCAGGATTACAACCTTAATAGCCTCTGTGGATGCCGATATGATTGCCGCTTTCTGGCGTGAAATTGACTATCGACTTGATATTCTCCGTGTGACGAAGGGGGCACACGTGGAAGTTCATTGACAAGGGTCATGAAACTTTTTGAGTCTATATAACCATTTATGTTATTAATTTTAATCTATCTTTATTATTTTGTGAGTTATTAAACATCGAAATGGGTCTGGGACTTTATAAACACCCTGTATATTAATACGACACTCGAATTGTGCATTTAAATATTCGCTTTATTTGAACCAATTTCATAGTAAATCTAAGAGATTTTTTTCGTCATTTTTCTAGGTTTTTCCACACTGTTTCAAAAGCCCTGATATTTTTAATCAGGTATCAAAACGACTTGCGATTTTCGAACCAGGCATTTTAATCATTAATTTTGACGTGCTGTATTTCTGCTGATTTTATAGTAGATCGATCTTATTTTTCGGTCTTCAATCTTTTTTCTTTTGCAGTTGCCATTATTTATTTTCACGTTCTTTTTTTTTTTTCCTCTGTAATACAGCAATATACTAAACTCGAAATTCGACTGTTAGTTTTTAACTGTTAATCTTTTTTTTTTAGCTTTGTTTCTAATTTTTGGTAGCTTAAAAAAGTAATTAAAAAAACGTTATAAGAATTAACGTTCATAAAAACTGTTATAATTCACTAAATATCAATGACCTAAGGTTAAAAATATATTGAACCTCATCCCAACTGAATGTTGGATCCTATTTTGAGGTATAATGCATTGCTTAATAAAAAATTTATGTTTTTTTATATTTTTTTTCATTTTCTACCTTTAATCAAAACCATTATTTTTTTTAAAAATACACTTTTGTGTTACATGATGTGATAAAAAAAAAACATCACTTTTTCCCCATCGTTAAATTTTTTGATTAATCTTTTCTATTTTTTAATTTGTTATAAAAAGAAATATTTTTATTTTGAAAAGTGTTAGTTTGGTTTTCTTCAGTTAATGTTTAAAAAAATTTAATTTTATACAAATATATTACCAAGTTAACTGATAAAAAGAAAAAATAAAGAATTAATTAAAAGAATTAAGATAATAAAAAAAAAATCATGATTTAAAAGAATTTAATTTATTACAAATACATCACTAATTGACTGATGAAAAGAACTGTGTCTAATTAAACAGTAAATTTTACATTAAAATTATCATAATTGTCGTCAACTTAACTAAATACTTCGGCTCGTAGTCCTTCATTCAAAAAAGTTGTGCTCCCTACTATATGAATTTCAATAAAAATATTTTTGTATTTTATAAGATATTTTTTAATTCACTTTATAAATAAAGATAGCCCTTAACTAAACTTAGAATATAATTATTGTAAAATAGTGAGTTATTTCCTTGTGTTATTAAGATAAATATCATTTCAATGTTGTTATTAAGTAAGTGTATACAATGCTCCAATTTAGTACTTTGTCTAAATTCCACCTTTACATCGCGATTATTAATTCATATTAAAATAATTTAAATTAAAATCTATAAATTAAAATAAAACGAATGATTATAAATTCCTGATTCACTCTTCATAGTGCTCTTGTCTCAGATTATAATTTAAAAATGTAAAGTCTAAGATAGAGACAAGGGCGCCGGCAGCGGGGTGCAAGGGGGTGCACTTGCACCCCCCCCCGGCTTTTTTTTTAAACAATTAAAGAGATACAGAAAAATTTTGTTCTAAAATTTTTATATTAAACATATTTTCATGGAAAAACAAATAATTAAGTAATTATTGATACATAACAATTAAAAAATTGTTTAATCAAACAAGAATTGTAATCGTCCTGTTTGCTGTCCAAATCTGTTTATAACTTTTTCAATGAAATCTGAGTCATCTTTGATTCTTTTCTTATGCACACTGAGCATTCACAAACTTGGCAGATATCTAAGCTATATTTTTAAATTTCATTTAATAAAATGTAAATAATATTATATTTTCTAATAGTTATTCAGTTTAACAAAGGTGTTTAACACAAACTGACTTCTCGCAACTGTAAAACTTCATCAACACAATAAATACCAATGTTAAGCGGGCACAAACACGTTAGTATACGAAACTACTGTTTGTAGTTAATTGTGTTTCAAAGTCAGTAGCTATGCCAGTGCGATCTCCTCTGGGCAAAATTTGCAAGTACAAGAAATTAGTACTTTTTTTTAAATATCTTAATAACAATGAAGAAATGTATCTTGATAAAATGAACAGATGAAAGTATATGTAATAACAAAACAAAAAGTAATAGCAGAATATTTAAATTTTTTTCGGGGGAAGGGGAGGGTAGTTTGTAAGAGGGTTGCACCCCCTTTTATATTATTCTGCCGGCGCCTTTGGATAGAGATCATTTATAGTTCTTGCAGGGAGGTCACATCTGAGTCCCTGCCTATAGCTCTATATAGCATAACCCAATAGTAGTTTTAGTGTGATTTAAACAAAAAAATCAAAATCCGAAATAGTTTCACAACCTGAAAGTATTTCGCTAACTTTAATTTCCTCTTATTCTTTTATGAGAAAATTCGGCGAGAACAAGGTATGAAATATTCGGATTAAGAGTGAATGATTCACTTAAGGTCTGGTTTCTTAGGACAAGCGTCAACGTCCCGCTGACGCCAACAAAATATTGGTTTGTTAGCTCAAGGCCTGCTTTTTTAGAACTAGCGCCTTATCTGGGAGTCAGCGGAAAGTTGACGTAGAGCTGACGCTAAAAAATACTTTTTTGTTAGCTCAGCGTGAGCAGTCGGTCCAACGCAGACATTATCTCTCATTGCGCATGCGTTAATAACGTAAACAAATATTTATTTTGAATTTGTTTTGAGTTTGTTATTGTCGACCAGTGTTTTAGAGAACAAATAATGACTTTGTCCAAGAAAAAACACATTATAGCTGTGCTAAATGAAGAGTGCTATGTTTAATGTCAAAATCAAAATCTTGGCTGATTTCAATGTGCTGTTGGATGTTGTCCGCCATTGCTTCTTTGATTAACGTCACGTTGTAATCGAACTGCAGTTGAGTTGGACGGCAATTGTAGTTCAAGATGAGCGTTCGATGACGTATACTATCAAACTCACAAATGAACCAATCAGAGGTTAGCGCTGATTTCCAGCTGACGGCGTCCTGTCCTAAGAAACCAGGCCTTTAGTCGTTTACTCTAGAGTTACACTAATACACTTTCTCACCAGAGCTGCACTAATATGACATTTTTAACAGTGGGATTCATCCTTAATGATGGTCCAAAGAAAATAACGATCTATGCTCACACTAATATGATGTTTACAACACCAATATGACATAGCTACACTAATATGACATTTTTAACAGTGGGATTCATCCTTATTGATGGTCCGAAGAAAATAACGATCTTTGCTCACACTACAATATCGCAATTAAAATTTAGAGGGCAGATGGTCGTAAAAATTACCAGACCTCCTCACCACATTCTCCAACCACTCAATCAATGGTAAAACTTTGTCGGCTCTATATAGATAAAGTGGATTCCGAAAAACGATTTGATCAGACACCCAGCATTTAGCACGAGATGTTAAATCCTAACTGTGCTACACGAATACTTAACCCACCACACCAACTGATTAGCGAGAAAGAAAGCGCAAGCACTGATTGTTTTCTACCTTGTTTGCTTATGCTTACTTTCACGGTAGGATATGTATAATGCGGCTTTCATGAGAACTCCTTCAGACACTCGTCTCGCGTCGTGGCGGGTACTATGGTTACAAGGAAAGGTCACTTCGTAGTGTAGGGTGAATAGTTTTGCCTTAATCTTAGTGTAGGTCGTAGTGAGTAAACCAATCGACACCTTCTTTCGTCCATTTCACCCCCTTTAGAAATGTGGTCTCGCTTGTTACCATAGCAGCAGACAGCCTTAGACTTTCAGTCTGGAGGAGTTCTCCTCAAAGCCACATTATATGTATAGTTTGTCTACAGTTTGTCCTCTCTCTACAAAGTCTGAGGCCGTCTGCTGCTATGGAAACAAGAATAGTACATTTCAGGGAGGGTATAGTTTGTCTAAAATAAGAACTCCTCTCGACATTCGTCTGGACCTGTGGCGGTGACTGTGGTAACGAGGTATGACTATTTCAAGTAGCAGTGCGGGGTCACTGTTTTGGAGTGATTTCCGCTCGGGTCGACGAGAGAATTGGATTCTCTTTCTTCGATCTAATGTGTTAGTCCTAGAATAAAGCTACCCTCCCTAAAATGCGTCATCTTGTTTCCATAGCACCAGACGGCATCAGACTTTGTGGTGGGAGGAGTTCTTAGCTTAGACAAACTATGGCTTCTCTTCACTCTAGAGCTAACACAGACCAAAGAAAAAAATTCCCTTTTTCTCTCCGACCCGAGCCAAAACCTGTCCTGAACAATGACCCCACATCCCTACTTGAAATAGTTAAGCCTCTTTACCATAGTCACCGTCACTGGTCCAGAAGAATGGCTAGGGGAGTTCTTACTTTGGACAAACTTTAATCGTAGCCTTTCATGTGTTCCCCGGTTGTGATTTGAAAAGACTATCAAAATTTAGTGAGCAGGGAAAAAATGCCTCAATTCCTAACAGGAGTTATCTTGGCATCTTTGGTGGATTCCAAAAAGGGTTATTTGCTCAAGGAAAAATATGCTCTTTTTTTGCTCTCTCTCTTTCTGTCATATAAAGTGTACTAAACGGGAAAACCTGTGCGGAGTTTATTTAATTTGAACAGCTGACTTTACTATCTTTCAAATCAATATATCGCCACTATCATAATCTTTCCTAAACTTAAAAGTTGTTTTCCTTTGTCACGAAATCGTGAATTAACGGCTGTTTTTCTCCTAAAATTAATTCTACAGTCATGCAAAATCGCTTCTTATTATGACACATTGTGCTTCAGTCCAATTTTCTCTCTTTTGTTCCGTTTCATTTCACCTAGAATACGGACTAATTTAAACTGTTTTTTTGAGTGAAATACGCCGTCCGCGAACTATAGTACGTCATTTAACGTTGACCATTCAATAGTGACCAGAAAGAAGATAATAAAGGTATTATTATATAGCAAAGAATCTAATAAGGTAGATTTTTATTTAGATTTTTTATCCCTATTTCGCCTTCTTTTAACCTTCGCAAATACTGTACTTGTGTTCTTCAGAAATGATTTTCGAATTTCTGATTAATTTATTGTTCAAATTTTGTCAAATTTTCTAACTATTCATGTTTTGAGTTTACTCTTGTCTTTGAATTTTTCTTTACGGCTGCCTCGCCGTAACTCTTCTTTTTGAAATTGTATCTGTTTTCATGGACTTTGGACAAATTCTGGTACTTTTCATCATCACAATATATTTGTTACCTTTTTTCAATGCTTTTTTTTTTTTTTTTTCAAATTGATGCCTAGCCTATTATGTTGAAACACTCAAACTCCTAAATTCTATTTTCTGAGTAACTACTATTGTTAATTTTAAGATTTCACTAAATTCTTTGATGCCTTCTGGTGTTGTCATGAATCACCACCAAGCCTACCTTTTTGAATCTTCTTTTTCTTTTGCTGAGATCTTCCTCTTTTTCTTGAGCTTAAAAAATAGGGATCAATAGAAAAATAGGGAAATAGGGATCAAAGCTTAACCCCCGGGGTAAAGCTTTGATCTCTATTTCGCCTTTAATTTAATAAATTGTTTTCTATCTGCCGGAAATTATTAAACTTTTAATTCGAAATAACAATAGGCTTTAGTTTGAAAAAATTTAAAATTTTTACAAGATCTATAGAATTATTTTGAGTAAAATAACATTTTTAATAACGTATGGAAATCGGAAAATTGCGTTTTCCGTTGTTTCCAAATTATGTTTTTTTCCTTAAAGAAAATAAAAAATTACTCTTTATTAGTCTAATTTAAGATGCTTTGAATCCAGATTTTAGTCAGAATATTCTTGTATAAGTGAGATACTGATATTCACCTGAAAAAGAGATTTATTTTTGAGTTTTATTTTGAATGGAATCAAAGCTATGAGTAGATTACTTTTATAAACTTAACAAATATTAACAATAAGTATAAACACATGATTCTGTATCACTTTTTAAACTCAGAAGTATGTAATAGATAACTTATTGAAAAAAAATTGTTATTTCTATTTTCTTTTACAGCGACAGATATTTAAATACAAGTTTCTCCCGGAGAATTCGTATACATAAAAAGAACAAAACTGAATCATGGATATCAATGGATTAGTAGTAAATGAAAAAGAGTTAATTGACAAGGTAATAAATACGATAATTATTTATTTATTATTCTGGCTATTAAAAGCATAGTCCAAAGGTTTTTAATTTTCTCTCAGTGGGAAGAATGAGATGCGTGGAAGTTTATTTTAGAAAAAAAAAAATGAAATATAATAATAAAGAAAGAAAATGAAAGGAAATCTGAACGAACTACAAAATAATTTTTAATCGAGATATATTTCTTCGATTAATGTTGTCCTTAGATTAATTTTTTTTTCTCTTTAAAGCCCTTTTCGCGAAATATTACGTCAAATAGTCAGTTATTAATAAGTGTTCATTAAAATTCAACTGTTCTCGAATAAGAGTTTTTTTCTTTATTACAGTTATTAGTTCTGTAATATAATTAAAAATATTCAACATTTTTTTCGTTAAAGTATGTATATTACTTCACTTTTTCCTACATTAAAATTGCAAAACATTACAAAAATGGTCGTATTATTTGAGTGCTGCTCCAATGTGGTATACAAGAGATGTTTTTTGATTATTAAATAAGATCAGGGGCCTTACTCCCTGATCGCTGCGTTCATCATCCCATGAAGCTTCTTATTGGATTGTTTTGCAATTCGAGCTCGTTTCGCTTGCTTATTGAAAACATTTTTCCTTTTCTTTTTTTTCAAACGGCAGGCCGTGCAGGTCGTTGGGCTACCGAAGTGGGAGTGCCATCCTCTCCGTAGAGGATCAAAATTGTGATGGCATGTCTTCGGATCATCCTCAGGGATGTTTCCCAGACCGCCGCCAAAAGCCCATTGTGCAGCTCTAGTGCGACGTAAATAAACTACAACAACAGCATCGGCAGGCACTGAACTTATCGTTCTTGGCGAAGATGCCGGAAGTTAGATGCCGGAAGATGCCGGAAATGTTGCGCATTTTGTGTTGCCTGATGAGCATCTTGCGTCTTAAGTCACGGAGGCGAACAACATTACCCACGCCACACTGCCACAGATACCCGTTCATAGGGTGACCCACATTCACCCAACAGAGGACAACACAAAGAGAAACATCCATGTCTTGAGCGGGATTCGAATCCGCAGCCATTGGCTTCGCAGTTAAGCACACAAACCGCTCGACCCCCTGGTGCTCTTATTAGGAACTTTTTTCGATATATTTTAGTTTTAAAATTATTCAAACTCTAATCCTTAAGAGGCTCTGACTGATACCACTTTCCAAACGGACATATTCCGCTTCCAAAGATAACGCTACATATAATTTATGAAATTTATCTATATAGACAATTATAATTGTCAGTGCTTAGAGACGCAACAGTTGTAAGATCTTATTAGGGGGGGATGTAATGTAAATTCAAGATCATAATTAAGAATAATTGTATTTTCTGGTCAATTTATTTCTTATTGAGTAAACAGTTTAGTTTCATACAATTCGTTGTTACAATATTTCATTTTATTTTGTTACCAATTCAATAAATTTAATTATTTTTTAATTATTGTGAATTTGAGGTGCGGTAAGTTCAAAATTTTCCTTACCTTTTTACTGATTATGATTTCGAAAAAGCTGATTACTTGATACACTGCCCTACAATAATGAAAAAGGCACTTTTAGTTTTTGGCATTTTTTAATTTCTCAAGAAGTACCTAGAAGACTATTTTGTAACTTTAGAGATGCTTAGTTCACGCGATTTCTCATATTTATCAATAAGTTTTGAAGCTTTCAAAAGTTTGAGAGACCAGCAATAAATTACGAAAGAAAACAAATTTTTTTAAACACCCTCTGCCTGAAAATATAGTAGTAAGCTTGTAATTTGTATCTATTATTTCGGTTATTATTGGCAATAATTGCATAAAATTTCTTTAACCTAGCTTAATAATTTGTGGAGATATGAATATTTTCATTAAAAACTAATTTTTTAGTTTTATGCTTTTTTTGCTATAACTTCAAAAATATTCCACAAAATTAAACGAAATTTCTGGAGCAACCTTTGTAAAAGAATTTGTTAACATTTGTGCAAGATATGGCATTTCCAGGGCGAAAAAAATAATAACAATATTTTTCTTCATAATTTTAGTAAATTGTAATTGGTAAGTAATGAAGAAAATCCAACTTGAATATCTTGAATATGCAAAAAGATTTCTAGCAATTTTCTAAATAATTTTTGTACTATTTAAAAGAAAGTCTAAATGACAAGGGGTTTTTCACAAATGTCATATTATATCATAAGACAAAATTTAAAGATAAATGATAATACCTCACAACAATCGTCTGTACAATGGGCATAAAAAAAGGACTACGTTGAATAACTTTTGATCTAATGATCGGATTTTCACGCTCTGGGACACAATCTCAATGGATTTAGGGGGTAACCTCAATTATGCTAATTAATAAATATAAATAATATTTTAAATTTCGGAATCAGACACAAAAATGTACTTTCTCGGAATAAACATTCTTTTTTCCCACTAAATTCGGATTTCTGACCCTCAAAATAAAGGAGGTAGGCGCAATCTGGGAAATATGGTCAAAATAGTTTGGTCAGTTGAGCGCTTTAATGTTTGGACCCCTTAACATTAATTTTACTTTTTGCCTATTTTGCTATAAATCGAGGACTACTTAAGCGAATTGAAATTTTTTTCACACAATTATCAAATTCGTTTATCCAAAGATAATTCCAGGCGAAAAATAACGTTTAGCAAATATATATTACTAATGGGCTGCGCCCCCTGCTCGCTGACGCTAGCCAACCCCCGAAAATTGCTACGCAATCTTATATGGTTTGCTTCGCAAACCAAGCTCGCTTCGCTCGCTACTAACTTAGGAACATTGTAAATGCACAAAACTCTAAGAATTCAAAACAATCATTCAAATCCATATAACAACTTTAAAAAAAAATTACATCTTTTTAGTAAATACTAAGTCATTAAAATAAATTTGAATTCAAATAAATGACATGTAATTCGTTAAACCTATTAGAAATGTGCTATAGTATAAAATCTTAAGATAAAATTTCTAAAACTGATATCTCTTTAAAAAGGTTAAAATTTTGGCTATAATTAAGTCTATTAAAAATTGAAATAAGTGAATTGCAATGGAAAAACCTGCATAAACAAATAAATTCTAGTAAAACAAATAAATTCGTGATATAAATCAAAAATCGTCAAATAAATTCGTAATATATAAATTCGTGAAAAAAAGCGCTTTCGACAAAATACTAAAATAGAGATCTATCGACAAAGACTACTCACTTCTGCCTAGCTTATGCTCTCTCTGGTTATTTCAGTTTCTGTTTTGAAAAGCGCTATATGTTGAGCCATCTCAGCTAGATTTGGCATGTGACATTTTTAGCGGCAATCATTGGCCGATTTTCTAGCGTTGCCATTCGAGGAGTTGTAATGAGGCTTTTTTTTGTTGCCGTGTAAGAGAAATATATATATATATAGATTTTTTAATTTAATAATGGTAAAAAACATTTTTGAACTGCAAAGTATACAATTTTTATATTGTTTTGAAGAATGTAATTTCACATGGCAAAATGCTAAATTTTACCAAAATGATGCAAAAATTTTATCGTTTGCAATTTAAATTTTTTTCTTGCATTATTGAATAAATTAATAAAAAATTATAAATATTTGTAAAAGTTATTTTTTGCATGAAATTATCTTTGGATAAACGAATTTTAAAATTGTGTGCAAGAATTTTCAATTCGCTAAAAAAATTCTACAGATGTAGCGAAAGACCCAAAAAGTGCAACCAACATATAGGGGTTAAAACTTTGGTGCCCTCTCCTGGCCAAACTATTGACTCTATATTTCCTATATTCCGTATATCCCCTACATTTTGGGGCTCAGAGATCCGAATCCATCAAAAAAATGGCATGTTCATTCAGAGAAAGTACGTTTTTGTGTCTGACTGCGTAACTTAAAATATTGTCTACACTTATTAATTAGCATATATTTGAGGTTACCGTTCGAGCCATTAAGATTGCGTCTTAGAAAGTGAAAATCCTATCATAATCTCAAAAGTTTTTCAGAATGATCTATTTTTTTAATTTTTTTAATTTTTTTTATTTACGCACTGTGCACCAGAATGTTATGGTTTTAGGAAAGAAAATATACTTTTATGGAGGATGATCCCCACAATGCTGGTGTCTTTCTTAATGAATCTTTTTAAGAGTACAAAATAATATTAGTGGAAAACCCTTTGTCATTCCGAGCTTTCTTTTAAAAAAAATAATAAATAAATAAATGGTGGGAAAACTACGCCGAAAATTGATACAAACTTTTTCAATTTTCTAGATATTCAAATCGGGTTTTTCTCCTTAGTTATTTAATACGATTCAGTTAAAAATTATGAAAGAATTCTTTTAGATTTTCTCCACGCATGCGTAGCATGAAAAAACTACTTAAAGTTTTTATGTCTTGCAGAATTTTTAACGATTTTTTTTCTTCAGATTTCATAATAATAATTTGTTATTAATTAAAAATTGTTCCAAATATTTCGTTTCATTTTTTTAAAAATATTTTTGATATTTTAATATTTTTAATATTTTTATAGGGAAAAAAACGCATGGCAAAAATTTTTTTAATAAAAATATCCACACCTCCATAAATATTTAATCTAGGCTTATGAAATAGTATGCAATTATTGCAAATAATAACTAAAGTAATTGATACCAGCTATAAGTTTATTGCTATATTTACTGGCAAAGGGCTATTTACTGGCAAAAATACGGGTTTTCGTTCGTAATTTATTGCCAGTTCCTCAAAGCTCTTAAGTTTGTAAAATTTTCTGATAAGTACACAGGTGGAATTTTTATTTAAAAATTATGGTAAAATTACCTGCAGCAATTTGTCCCTCCAATTAACCGTAAAGGTAACTGTAATGAACTTTTTTTACCTTTACGGTTCTGAAACCGTTTGCAACTAGCATGGTTAAAGAACCACGAATGCATAACTATGCTGTTTTTAACCATTTACAACAATCATGGTTTAAAAACAGTGAAGAAGAAATCTGATTGGACATTGGAAGTAGTTTAGCAGCTTTATGGGACTTCCTTCTAAGTGGGAAAGAGAATATCGTATTCTAACAGCGCAGAGACATGAATTGGAGAGTGCAATACACTGGAAATTCTTCATCTGTTGAAGAGATAGCCTTTCGGCTATAATATGAACCCAGCTGGGAGAAACTAAGTACGTAGCTTCATGTGGTGGGCTTAATTGGTGCGATACAGTTTTGGTTGTTTAACCATATTAGGTGAAAACAGTAAATTAACGGTTTTTCTCTCAGTTAACAGTTTGAAAACCATCTTAATCAGGGCTAAATGACTGTTTTGTTGAAAAATGGTAAGATAACAATCAAATAAATTTTTATTTAATTTTTTTTTCCGTGAAATTTCTAACAGTGTATGAGAAATCATGTGATCTAGACATCTCTAAAGTTTTGAAATATTCATTGGATAATTTCTTAAGAAATTTAAAAAAATGTCCAAAACTGAAAGGGTCTCTTCCATTATTGTAAAGTAGTGTATATATATTCCTAATTTCTTAATTTATAATAAGATGATAGACTTGTATTTGTTTTTTTTTTTCGTTCCAGTTACGTGAAAGAGTATCTGATCTTGATATTGGACCTGAGTTTCACTATGATGATACATATTATAAGAAATGGTTGAAAGGTGCGTAACTTTTTGTTGACATATTTGTCTTCTTTATATGAAAGATTATCCAATCTTGAGGTTAGACCTGGGTTTCACAATAATAACGCCCATTAGAAAAAATGCTTGAAACATGTTTTCAGAAACATGTTCAAAATCAGAGCCTTAAAACGTATGTTTCAAATTTATGACATTACTGTGTAGAATGTACTAAGGAGGGGAAATTACTATGATTGTCTCTAAAAAGGGAACTTTCTTAATCGTATATGCATTAAATACATATGCAAGGTATTCAGTTATGATGACCCTTGAAAAATATATTTTAATAATCCTTGAATAAATAAGACAACGCGAGTACACATTTTAAGCCACAAGTTCATATTAAAGCCTACATATGAAATATGCTTTGAGAAATTGAAAATCTAATTGGAATCCTTTAGGAAGATGTTTCGAATGCTGCTGCGGAAATGATTCCCACCTTTCTGAAAAATTATGATTCGAATATTATAAAGAGTTATAGCATATTGAAACTACAAACGGGATTGTTTAAAAAGCCCACCAAAAGTGAATGTTCTCAGCTAGAAAGTTGAAGAAATTCAGAGCGCTCTTACTGGCTTTGATTTACAGAACTCACCGATTACTTTCACCTAATAGTTAGCACAAAATAACACTCTGAAAAGTGCTTGTTTTGTACACAATATGAAATGATAGTACAACCTCGTCAGTTCTTTATACCAAGTGTACAATGTGCGAAAAAAAAGAACCGGATTTTACTGATTAAGTTTTGATATAACGATACGATCTTCACGTTCTAGGACTTTATTAAGTACGGTGATATGATCTCAGATCTCGGGGTTTCAGGGGCGCCAATATTAAATACGGTGATATGATCTCAAATCTCGGGGTTTCAATCATAACAAACGCCTTTTAACACAATATATATTTAATAACAAAAGGATGATGATAATGGTACAGCGTCATGGAGGAAACTGATTAGAAAACTAATGATTTTACATTACTGCGCAGAGCGCCCTCTATTGAGTTTTAGAAATTATAAAGCAGGTAACCTCAAATATGCTTATTTATAAGTACAGACTATATTTTAAGTTACGAGATCAAACACATAAACGTACCTTCTCAGAATCAACATAAATTTTTTTCAAAATATAGGGGGCAGTCGCAATCTAGGAAATAAGAGTACTATTGGGACAAACTATACTATAAGAGTACTATTGGGACAAACTACAAACTATTTGGACCTTATTATTAGGACCTTATTTTTTGGACACTTCCTATTAGGACCAAAGTTTTACTTTTGCGTATTTCGCTATATCTTCAGTAGGGGAGAGTGGGGTCAATTGTAACAGGGTACGATCAGAGCAAAAATTTCGAGTGTCGGGCTCTAGATTTGGCTCCTAGGTGGCGCACAAGGTGTATTTAATAAATCCACATGTACACCCCTGCTGGCAACCATTTTTATGTACTTTTGAAAGAGTTACATCACAAAAGATATTTTCACGCTACGTAAGTACTTTTTTTGGTATTAGAATATTATATTGCAACAAAGTAATTTTGTTTAAACAAATAAAAATTATTTACCGAATATGTAAGTGGACACCTTAATATTAATAATATTAAAAAAAAAGATTAGTTTTGTTAATTAACTAGCATTGTTTTTAACAAATGAAGCTGAAATGGCGTCTTAGGGACGATTCTAACAATTAGTAAAGGGATGATTGTAACAACTGAAAATAAATAATCTTATGTTTACAAACCATTACTTAACTCTTTTAGAACCACCAATAGTTTCCTATATCATTTATATTATGGTGCATGTGCATTATTTTATTTGTCTCCTTTCACAGCATAAGTTAAAATTTTTAACCCCTTAAAGTTAAAAGTTTAACCCTTTAGGTTTCTGCTCATTATTATTTTTACTCCTAAAATATCACTACTATTTTGATCAATAAAAAAATATATCACAACTATGATAATATGTATAATTAACTATGTTTTAGTTGAATTTATGAACTGTTACAATTGACCCCGTAAGTGGGGACAATTGTAACAAGTGCACGACTGTCAAAAATTGTTAATAACTAATATAATAACATTTAAAATAAGGTATTTATTTTTTTTTCTAGTAGAGGATAGTCTACTTTACTCGTCTGTCAATTAATACTAATAATATATTGGATTTTTTGTTAGTTAAAAATAGTTAAGTGAAAAATGTTACATTTGACCCCACTCTCCCCTACTCCGTAAACGAATTGAAAAAGTTTTGCACACTATTATAATATTTCTTTATCGAAAGAAAATTCCATGCAAAAAAAAAAATAATAACTTTTAGTAAATACTTATTTATTTTACTTTTTTAAAATTACATTCGGAAAGATTTAAAATTTTTAAGGCATACAATCTTTCACATCATTTTAAAAAATGTAATTTTGCATGGAGAATTATAAAGTTTGAGCGAAATTGGTCGAATAGCTCCTGAGAAATTGAATTTTAAAAAAATCAGAAACTTAAAATTCGATTTCTCATGAACTCATCGACATATTTCGCACAATTTTGTATTTTGTGATGTAAAATTACATTCTTTAAGATGATGTAAAAATTTGTATACCTTGCAATTCAAAATTTTTTCGACTATAATGAAGTGAAAGAATAAAAAATAATAAATAATTATGAAAAATTATTTTTTGCAAGTAATTGTCTTTAGATTAACGAATTTTGTAATCGTGTGTAATCAGCGTGATTGTGTACAAATCTTAACTTGTAACAGAGTATAGAAACTATCTTTTTTTTCTTTCAAAGAGCTTTAAACACTTATTTATGTATTTATTTTTTCAGCTAGATGCTTTGATCTCGAAAGAGCGGAAGAAATGCTAAGAAAGGTTGTATAAATTGTTTATTTTCGTTTTGTGCTCTAGTTTTAATAACTTAAATGGAAATAACAAGCTGATTTGTAATTTAAATAGAAATTATTTTAATACGCAAAAAAATATTGTTAGGAAATGTTTTAATTTATTACGAACATATTCTACGTAAATAAAATTAAATTCGGTTCATTATACCACAATTGATTACTTCGGCAGATTATAAACACGATTACTTGAATTGAAAACTTTAATATGATTCATGAAATTCAAGAAAATGTAGTTAAATTTGAGTTTTTAGTTCGTTTTGACAGTTCTTTAAAAACTGCTAATCAGAAATTTGATAGCCCATTTACAATGAGCTTTTTTAAATAAATAAATCTATTTCAAATAGTTAATAAATATATTGTTCTGGTAGCTTTCTCCATAATTGTAGATCACTAAACTTTTTATAAGAAACATAAACATAGATCAAAGCGAAGTCTAAGAACTTGTAGTTCCCTAAGGAAAAATAGATATATAGTACAAAATACGCTTTTAAAAAAATATTACTTGATATGCGTCTTTGAAAAAATGGGTGTAACTGAAAAAGTAATACCAAAGCTTAAAATAGGACCGGGATAGCCCGGTCGATAGGGCGCTGGGCCCATGTCCGAGAGATCGTGGGTTCGAACCCCGCCTGCCGAAGACTCCCCGTGTAGTGAATGGTGACTGATGCACGTTAAATCTGTCGAGTCGCAAAGTCCTCCATGTTGCCATAACAAATCAATACCTCTGGGGGTACTGGATTGGAGATCGATTGTTCTCTGATTCAGGTCAAAATTACGATCTGTGGATGAATGAATGGATGTATGAATGGGTCCTCCCCATAAACGGGTGTGACATATGGTTGTGGAAGAAGTCGAATTCTTGGAACATAATCATTTATTTAGATTAAAATATAGTAAAGCGGACAACAAAATGATATAATCAGATGCCTACTTGTTGATGTCTCAGAACTTTAGAAGCTCGTTGGCTAAAGGAGGAAAAACTTATATGAAAAGTAAAACATGCCCTACTATCATTCAAGGGCTTGGACAAAGAACCTGGATAATCGTTTAGACGATCTAAGCTTCAACCAAAACAAGCTTCCATCAATTTTATTTAATCTTGATACAAGAACTTGGATAGTATAAACAGGCCTTAACTCAATAAAAACAATCTTTCTTTAAGCCGCAAATGTATTGGACGATTCTATATGGCATAACTGTTGGCACAATTTGAAAACTCATGCTTGAAGCTTGAATCATTCTTTTAGACCATGAAAGACCTTAACAAGGTTGAGAGCTTTGGACATGCAAAACTTACATTGACCAAAATGAGCGTAAACCTTTTTTTCCCCTTTTATAATACAGGGTGTTCCAAAATTATCTTTACATCACCTGGCTTGAAATTGATTACAGACTGGAAGTGCTTAGGGCCACCAATGGTGCGCATGTTGAAGTGTACTAAACGAAACTTTATTAGTTGCAGTAATACATGCAAAAGACAGAATATAAATGTCTTGTTTATTTTCGAAGTTATGAATTTTTGAAGTTGTAAAGAGAATCTTGGAACACCCTGTACTACTATAGTTGAAAAAGTATTCTTATATAAATATTGCAATGCCAAAGAAATATTTCAAAATTTCTGGTATTAAAGATAAAAAAGAAGTTATTAACTTGTTTTCCTTATTTTGATCGATCTGAACTTTACATGGGTGAAATAAGACATTATTTCTAAAAATTTCAACCATGATTTTTCAAATTGTTCCTACAGATTTACCATGTAAAATATTCCAAAACATTTGCTGTGAAAAGAAAATCTGATTGCATAGAATTAGTATAGAAAGATTTCATAATTTTTTCCAACCCCAGAGTATATTTTTTAAGTAATTTATATACAGCGGGGGAATAAAATTCTTTTAATTTTAATGTATTAAGAGATTATTACATTACCTTTACTACGAGTCGAAAATATTATCTGAAACTATCTAAATATCATAGTAATTAAAGGATATGCTACTGTCAAATACGGACGAGGGGATGTTGCAATCTCGGGGTGCATGGGGAGAACTGATTAAAACTGATTACTTTTTCAAAACTGATTGGAAATAGATCTGATAACTTAAACATATTGAAAAAAAATTCAGAGCAAGTTCCGAAAAGCTTAAAGTGAATGATGATTCTTATGTTCAGAAGGACAATAACCCTAAACAGGCGGTGTCCATTGCGAAGCCATGACAGCTTCACAATGTTCCAAACCTACTCCACTGACTAACCCAATCTCCAAACCTCTTGAGCATTTAAGATATTTAATCGAACAGAACATCAGAAAGCATAAAATAACTTACAAAGAAATTCTTAAATCTGTCACAGACTGGAACAAAATAACCTTATAAAAGATATCTCAACGCGTTATAAATTAATTCCAAATAGGTTTACCCATTAAACTACCAATTTAAAGTTGTAAGCAATTATTTTAGAACTCTCTGTCCGTATACGCTGATTTTTACGAGCACGATTCGCACAAATTCATGACATTTTGGATAATTTTGAGTTCAAATTCTTTATTTGGTATTTTATAAAGTTTCACTTTTGAGACTTGATTTATGGCTAATTAATCAGGACTATTTTATTGTAGCATATTAAGTTCGTCAGAGGAAATGGCTTAGATAAGATTGAGGAAAACTTTACACCTAAAGAGGTAAGAGAGATATACTATAGTATTGTATTAAAATACATTTTTACAAAAAATACATTAGTGTATCGAATTAACTTTATTTGTAGCGGGAACTTTTTGTCTTGCGAGATAAATATTTTCTATTAGTGTCACTCTTAAAAATAGTATCTTAATTTTGTTTCTGACCTATAATTTTTAATGAAAGTAACAATCAAACACAAACATTTTTTAGTGTAAAAGTTTCTTCATATTTATTGATACAATGGGCACACAAAAAATATATTAAAATTAATCGCACTGTAGAACTTTTAACTTATTGAAGTAAATAGTTTTCTTGTGGAAACGAGTCTTAATATGAAGTGATACAGAGTAGAAAGAATATTTCAAAATGCATAGAAAAAAGTATAAAAATTCTGCGTATAAAAAGTAATAGTTTTAAACTTTCATTTATTTATTAAAATATACCATTGAGAAAGTAAAATACTCTAATGTTTTCTAGAGAATCATTTGAATTTTGGTTGTTAAGAACATCAATTGTATTGTTTTATTTTAACGCTTTATCCTGATTTTAACGCTATTAGAAATCCTGATCACTGCTCTGTCTTTCGCAGCGAGCTGATCGCTATAGATGCTGGATTGGGGGCTGTGCTTACTTTTCCTGGATCAAATGACATCTGGATTTTGAGCGATAGTAGGAATGCAATCCAGCACCTTTCGAATTGGCATGGGGTGGGTGACAGTGATGGAGTTTCAATTTTAAACAAGCTGAAGACCCTTTCTTTCTCCCATAATATACACTTGCAATGGATCCCATCTCATGTCGATGTTGAGGGTAATGAGATTGCAGACTCCTTGGCTAAGAGCGGAACTGATCTACCCCTGCATTCTTCGGCATCTCTGACTTTCTCGGAGCTCCACTCCCGTTTTAACAGGCTTCGTGATCCTGTGGCCCCTCCTGTTCATCATTGGTATCAGTGCAACCGCCCAGGTGGCAGCCTGACCCTTCAGTGCAGCAGGCGGGATCAGACGGTTATATCAAGATTTCGAAGCGTTCACCTAAGAACTATGTTGTTCAGTAATGGTTCAAGAGTTTCCCCTGTTTGCAGAAAGTGTAACGACCAACAAACTCCTGAACATATACTTCAATGCCTAAATACCTCTAAAGTGGACCTCTTTTCAGATCCACTTTTTGTTACAGACTTGCTCAGAGTCTCTGGAGTCATGGACTTGGTTTAGCTCCGCTAACCGTGTGGGCCAGCAACAACAACATTTTAACGCTTTTTTTTTCGAAGCTTTGTCGCCAAGGAAAATAAAAAAGTTACAGTTTAAGTGCCTTACACTTGAAGCAATGCAATGATTTTAAACTGTAAATATAATCTTGCCATGATCTGGGCTTTAGAACAGACAAATAACTTAAATATTTAAAAAGTTCGTAATCTTTTTTAAGAAATCGCCAACGTGGCGACATTTTCCCACTTAGATGACAATTATGAAGATCACTGCCGTATTCTCATTTTTTTCCAAATTCGTATGAGCCCCAGGTAATGCAACATCGGAGTAAGTTTGTAAACATTAAAAAATTAGACCACAAATGCTTTTCATTTTCACAAAACTGTGGCTTTTCTTCATATTGACGTTTGGCGCCATTTTCAAAATAAGCGTAGACATCGATGGCTTTAGATAGGCTTAACTTGACCTAACACTCATGCGTAACTGTTGCAAACTCACAGCAGTTATAAAAATAGCATATTACATGAACGAAAAACCAAAGAATTAAGCTACACATATTATTGGCGACAATCGGATTCAGCCTTGATGATGATCTGGGTACAATGAGTGCGCATGCGCTTTCTATTGTATTATGCAGAGGTTAATTTTGATTATCGTTGAAATTGTAATACAAATTCTTAAAACATGTCTTCGTCTTTTTTTTTTATTATTTATTTTTACCTTGTACTTATTTGAACGGTAAACTAAAAACAGAGTTACAGTAAACATTGTTATTTGTCATACATAATTAGACCATTGCTGCTTTTGGACTGAAAGAAAATAAAGGAATCATTTTATTTTTACAGGTTACAAAGTACTTCCATACTGCTAAACTTGGGTATGATAGAGATGGATTTGTTGTGAGGATTTTTAACCTTGGAGCTTCTGATTTGAGAGGTATATTCTATTTTTGCAAATTTTTTTTCATTTTTTTTTTTTTTTTTAATATTGAGCAGCCTCCTGCCTTTTTTTTAATATTATTTTTATTTTTTTTTGGACAACCTTTTCCACTGCTTGTGCTTTCCTCATTCTTTTCCATCTCAATCTTGCTTAATTTTACAGCTTTTATGTTTTATATTTCTAGAAATTTCAATTTGAGAGGTGTAAAATAATTATTACATGAGTATTTATAACCATATAGACAGTAGTATAGCTAGTTCACCAGGAGTTGGCTCTTGGCTCTGCCTTCATCACGTGATATGCGACGATACTATTTCGTTATATTTGAGAGAACGTTGTGAGCAATCCTGGTTGCTATTTTATTTTATTTTATTTTATTTTATTTTATTTTATTTTATTTTATAACTGTCGTTGAACAGCCGGCCCAATTTTTTGGGTTTACGACTACTAATGTTCAACTCCGTAGCCTTGTAATTTTTAACCCAATACAGAAGACAAAGGAACTCCTGGATCGAGTATTGGGAGAAATTAGCTCTTGTGGAGGACTTTTTGATGGAGTTAACCAGTATTTGCGTTACATGCAGAGGAAGACCACGAGAACCTCCCACGGTTAGCATGACGGCAAGGGGACAAACATCCATGATCCGTCTACCACTGAGGATATTTCTCGTCAGCACTGTGGTCGGTGCGAGCTGGATGCGGAATTCGTATTGACTGGGATTCGAACCCGGTTCTCCGCATTAGAAGGTGAACGCTCTATCCCCTGAGCCATCATGGCTCAAGGTTGCTATTTGGCGATCGTATAGCAAAAATATTTATTTCGCAATTTTTATGTGCCTTTATAAACATTAAATGTCTCATAAATTTGATGATATTCCGCCCGAGTTTTTATGATAGTGAATAGTTTATCCATTTTGAGACATTTTGCTGGGGGAAAAACAACAGTTGTTAAATTTAAAATATTTTTTAAATTAGCTCGAGAAACGAAAGGTGTAATAGCAGATGATAAAGCGAAGTAAGTGACTGAAAAAGAATTCACTTGATTGTGTTGAGAGGAGTTGTTTCTGTTCTTATTACTCCCGCTCAGAAATGAACTCTGCGTCCGATGAGGGTTCCTTGGGGTATCCATCGAGGTTAATATCTTCCTTACCTGTACTATGCATGATTCTTTATCGCCTTACGAGATCATCGCCAACAAAACCAATTAGTTTTATTTTTTGAAATGCCGGATGCTATTTAGGCAAAGTATGAAATAATCGTCCTGATGAGGTTATTATGTAAATGATGTGCATGTTACTGTGAATGACCGAAATCGGTGGTTGTTGACTTTCACCGGTGAATGTTGACAATCAAATTAGTCGCTTTGGTGAATGTCCGAAATATTTATTACATCCGATTTGATATTAATTTATTCGTGGATATAATTACATTTATTCGATATTTTAATACTTACCGACGATAGATTAGAACAAACATCAGTGTTTGGAGTACCGGGAAAATATATACCGGGCAATGGCACTTGACTTTAAAAAAACATCAGTGTAGGGTATCTCGGGGAAATATATACCGGGCAGTGGCACTTGATCTAAAAAAAAACATCAGTGTAGGGCAGGGATGGCGAACCAATGGCACGCGTGCCATTTATGGCACGCGACACAATATTTTAGGCACTCCACCGATCACAATTGTTGTTACACTATGAATTGTTATTACACAAATGTTATTACGCTATGAAGCATATGTGACAATTAAATTAAAATTCTCATAAACAAGCAAAATAATAAACAATTATTAATAAAAAAATTAAAAATTAAAGCCAAAAAACAATTAATAACCATAAAAAACAAGCTAACGATAAATAACTAGCAAAAAAATTAACAGTGCTGCTTAAACTAACATCGAAAAATAAGTTATTGGTCATCTAATCTGGAACAACAGAAGTCACACTGATGTTATTTTAAGTTGAATTACGTGTATAACTGAGACATTGCGAAATGTATTTTTTTTTTAAATGTAAATAAGAAGTTTTGAGTTTATAGTTTTTAGTATTATTATTTTCCCAATAATCACGAAGTCAAAATTATTTGACGGCACGTCTATGACCTCATTAAGCAATTTTTTAGAGAAAATGGCACGTTGGTGTATAAAGGTTCGCCACCCCTGGTGTATGGTATACCGGGCAGTGGCACTGAACCTTAAAAAAAACATCAGTGTAGGATATACCGGGTAAATGTATACCGGGCAATGGCACTTAACCAGACCTAGTATGACTAGACCTTTGGTAAATGTTCGAAATATATACTAGGTCTAGTAACACTTTTGCTATAGCTTAAATATTTAAAAAAAATTAAACAAAGCGTTTGAATCAATTTTAAACTGATAACGAAATTATTGCTTTAAAATTAAAAAAATAACAATAAAAACTGCGTCAGATAAGAGTAATTGAAGTAGTTGCTTTATGCAGCGCATGTGCGGAAAAAATTTTAAAAAAAATTATACATGTGCATCTAAAAGTGAATGAATATCCCAAGACACCTACCATTACAGTAGAGACAAGAAACTGCCAATTTGATTCACCTCTGTGTCTGATTCGCACAATGCTTATGGCGTCCCACAAAATTTTCGTAAATATTATAGAGCCCCGACAGAAAAAAAAAATAAGAAACCCTGAATTTCAAAAAATCTAACTAATAAAGAAATGAACACCTTTCTTTCCGTTTTCTAGAAATTTTTTTACCCTGGAAACATTATCCTGGGTGCGTCACTGTTATTTACCGCAAAACTGTCCAAAAAGTACCTTAAATTAGGGGTTCCCACATTTTTTCTGCTATGAAACTCTAAGCGAGTAAACTTCTTTTGGAACCCCGACTTCGTAAATAATGAAATATATAAAAGGGTCATTCTCACTGAAAAGATATTAATTGACTAAAAAATTTTCTTAAATTAAAGTAATTAAAAAATGATAAAAATTACATAAATGCCTTTATTTATTTTTGCTTTATGTCCTTATAATAATGGTCAAGTTTTCTATTTTATTTTTTGCAAGATTTAAAATATTTTAAATTCTGCCTTGTCCACGGAGGAGATGTAATAGTCAACGGAGGAGACATTTTATGTTATAAAATATAAAATGTCAATGAAGACTAATTCATTAATTATTGGGTACAACTGATATGAGTTTAACATTAATAAGTAAATAATAAAATATTTCATTGTTAGAGATAGAGCTACTTCCGATTAATCATGCTGCTATGAAAGGAAGCATCCATTTTAAACCTAGGTGTACAATTTAAGTAACTCTCACTGAATATTAATAAATTAAAATGTAAAGACTATTGAAATAAAAATTCAGACTCCACATGATAGTTAAGTGTTGAGGGTACTCTTTTATGAACATTTTATGCAAGTTAAACATACTGTCATCCAAATAACGTTTTTGTTTTTTCTCTTTTCTTCTTGTTGTTTCTTTTTTCCCTGGGCACAAACGGCTTGCTCTATCAATTTCTAGAAATTTAAGTACATTTAATCACGATTTTTCTGTTAAATCTTTTTCTGATACAGATTTTAAAGTTTCTTGCTCTTTTTTTTTTTTTTACTTTCTTCAAACAATATAGGGTTTTCTTTTAATTTCTGTCTAGCTTGTCTCATACTAAGTTTTTTCTGTTCCCTTCTCTTTTGCATTTGAACCTTTGATTGCTTTCTTTTTTTACATTTTGGTTTTGCCATTTTTTTCCCTAAAATTTGAAGCGAAAAAAGATATTAAACATCACAGAAATTATTTAGAAAAATTGCCAATATTTACTTCTCCGATAAGAAAAAGTCAAACTTAATTGACTTTCTTTAAAAATACAAACAAATTAACACATTTGTTCCATTTTAAAGAAATATCAATTAAGAGAAAATAGTTTTTTAATTATTAAAATTGTATTATGGTTATCTAACACATTGTCTCTTCCATTGACTGTGTCTTCTCCTCCGCGGACTTGTTATGTCCACGGAGGAGACAAAAACTAGTTCTTGAATTTTTCTGATTTTTAATTTTAAAGTTACAAAAATGGGGCCGTTCTTTTTATTAAATATACTATTTTTGCAATCTACAATTCATCTATCAAAAATAAAATAATTTTCTCTTACCTTCTTTATGATGTCCACGGAGTATACGGTGAGAACTTTGCCAAACCCCAGTTGAACACAACAATCCAAAACTGACACCAAAGAAAACAAAAACAACTGATAGTTAACATTATAAAATGGAATGGTTACCCCTCCCAGCAGCTGTCTTATAGGGATTTCGCATATGCTGCCTTTTATTGCATATTTACGGAACTATATTAATTGTCCATGGAGGGAGATTTCATTTTTGATGGACAAAGTTTACTAGTCATTTATTTTATAAAAATAATAATTTTTTTTAAATATTAAATAAAAAGTTACTATAAATATTTAACTAACAAAAATCATTAAAATAACATTTAAATTGTTTAACAGCCATTAAAAATTACATTGTGTCACAGACGTAGGGACGTCCAAGGAGGGGATTTTGAAGTTATGTTTATTAAAAAATAAGAATGAAATATTAAATACATTTAGCAGAAATGCATATGATTTGTTAGTTAGAACTTTACGAAAAATGATGAAGAAAAATATTAAGAAATCTGCTGTATTTCCTAATATTTATTACTAAGGGACTTAAAAAATCACCTTTTTGTGAGAATGACCCAAAAACAATGTAAAATAAAGTATATAAAAACTATTGTGAGCATAATTAACAATAAAATACTTAACTTTAAAAATATTTAATCAGAGGAATGGTTTTTTTTTCTTTCGTAGTTTTGATCAATAGTAGTTTTAAATTAGGTTTTATGTACGACTGTTGAATTAACACTGCTGGAGCTGCATTTAATTTAGTTTTAATTTGTTTTTGGTGTAATTACAGAAGCTGAATATGAAATATAGAAAAGCCGAATTCTAGTTTTCCTTGAAATTAAATCTAAAAGAGCTACTAAAAACGCTGGAAATGATTTCCAGGGAAACATATCTCTTTATTAACAAATTTAGCAATTTGAAAAATGCATGGGAGCTACTAATGCAGTTTTTCATAAATGAGGGTATTTTAGGCATTTTATTTAATTTTAATAAAGGAAATTGAAATATTATGTAAAGAACAGATTTTTAATTAGATCTAATTATGTATTAATACAGATTTAAAAAATCATTATTGTGAGGTAAAAGCAAGTCCTTCTTTCGGAACCTCTTTTACCCTATGACGGAACCCTCGGGTGTGGAACCATTGACTTAATAACAAATTTCGTTTTTGTGTTTTAACTACAAATTATATTGTTACATAAACAATCGCTTTGTAAATACATACAAAACGAAAAAAAAGAATCATAAAATTTTATTTTTTAAGCGATGAAATTATACCAAATGTTTTTTATTTATTTCCTATGAGCTGCACAATCAGTTTTCCCGATGAGCAGACCTAGTGCGTTCTCCAGAAGTGGTATCCACTCTTTCAGGACCACCACAATGGGTGAGATACCGTTGGCCATGTTAATTTGAACGTCTAGTTTCTGCCACACTAGATGGCAGCACCGAGACTCTATTTGGATGCTAAAGTGCACTAGGAATTTAATTTTGCCGGAAATGCCAAGAGCCAATAAGGCACTCCAGGGTTCTTTTACATGCCGCATAATCATACGACATGGCTGCTAAGGATTTTCTATTACCAAATGTGTGAGGATTATACCAAATGTTGTTTAACATATTGGACACTAGCTCTCAGCGTGTTGTTGCATTACATATTTTTGTCACATCTATTGCATATTTATTACAAAAATTTTCCTTTTTTTTATTATTTACCAAAATGTAGTATTTATTTATTTGATTTCTAGGACTGGTTCTATCACTTCCTAAAATCGATTTATACCGTTACATAACGAATCTTATTTTATCTGACATTCGGGAACAAGAGCAAGATTATCCTGAAAGAGTAGGTTCTGAAAATTCCATTCATCTAATTTAAATAATTCTCTTTTCTGATACTTAGCTTAAAACATGTTTTAAAACTGTTTGAAAAATGAATTTAATTGTAAATATTATTTTCTAGAAATCACATTTAGAGCAACACGTATACATATTGGACTTCAACGGTTTGAGTTGGTCTACTATAGTTGACAGAGGAGGTAAAGCTGAATTTCGGTGCTTAAATCCGAAAATTTTAATTCTTTTCTTTTTACTTTTTTTTTTTTTTTAAATTTTTAGTATTCTACGTAACATGAATCAAATATATATATATTTTTTTGTAAAATATGATTTTCAGCTGCTCTGAATTAAGCATTTTTCTATAAAATTTGTTTGTAAATGTTTACAAGTAAAACATTGTTTCCGATAAAAATTGCTTTGTTCAGAAACTTGTGATTGTTCTAAGAAGAATTAGAAATAAAAACCCTGCAAATTTTCTCCTTGACTAACCGTATAGACCAGGGGTGGCCAACATGCGGCTCTTTGAAGGATTATTTGTGGCTCTCGATAAATGTACCAGAGTTCCCTTTTCATTTTTGTGCTATTATATTTTAAAAAATTATTATCTTTCCTTATGGGTTCAAAATGTCTTTTAAATTACTGAGAACAAATATAAAAGACTAAGTACAACGTTGTTCAATTCAAGGTGAGTTTTCCATTTCCAATATAAATATGACACAAAAAGCATCTGGATAATTAGAATTAATTGAGATGCAACAAGATCAAGCTCTACAATTAAAATATAAATCGATGTCGATTACTGAATTTTGAAAATTTGTACCAGAATCGAAGTATCCTGAATAAAAAAAGGCTGCTTGTCGAATTATTTCAATATTCGGAACAACGTACTTAAGTGAATCATTTTATTCCACTTTAAAATTCGTGAAATCCAAACACCGATCAGTATCAACTGACCAGCATTTCAAAGAATTACTGAGAAGTGCTGTCACCAATTATTCACCAAATTTGAAATAAATGTGTTTAATTTTTAATATTTAAATTCAATACACATATTTTGTACTTTTATTTATGTTTTCAAAAAATATAAATTATGTAAAAAAATTAATACCTTTTTTGCATACCTTTTAAATACGTATTTAATTGCGGCTCATGAAAAATTTTAAATTTTGAAAAACGGCTCGACTAACAAGGAGCTTGGCCACCCCTGGTATAGACAATATACCATATATATAGAATGTTTCATAATTATCACCCTTAGCAATGTATATTTTAGGAATTCTTATCAGATATATTTAGCGAGATTATGAATTCTTATCAGATATATTTATTGATATTCTTATATTTAGCGAGAAAAAAACAAAAACGTCATCGAAATCTAAAAAAATAACCTGTATTTCTTTCAGCGAAATAAAAACTGTTCCACTTATTTTCGACAAGAATAAATCATCAACTCCTCAGGAATAAATCATCAACTCTCAAACCCCTCAGGTTTAAATCAACCTTATTAAATTTTAAGAAATATTAAGATCGAAAACAGATCTCTTCATTTTTAAAATACGTAAAATAATAACCCAAATTCTTTTAGCTTGTTCTGACTAAAATTTAAGTTCGAATTATTCTGCTCCCCAAAGAGGGGAGAGAATACAAAAATCAAAATCTGTTTGATTGCTGGAAAAAACAGAGATGAGTATGATTATTAAAAATATATCCAAATTTTAATTTACTATCAAACATGTTTTAATGTTTTGTATACCCACTTTCTCAATAGTTATATGTCAGATTTCTATATTGTATTTGTTTTTTCTCGCATAAATATTCATTATTGAACCCTAATGTGAGTATATCTCTTACTTCATTTCTAAAAAGTATTCTAAAAATATTAGTTAAGAATGCTAGCCAGTGAAACCATTTTTATTCATTAAATATTCACAACTTTTGTCAAACCTATTTTAAAAATACACTACAATAAGTAAGAGTTCATAGCAATAGCATACAATAAGTGAATTGGAAGCCACTGTCACTGGTGCAATATGAGCTGACTCCTGCAAATGCTGTAAAAGTCTACTAGAAAAATGCAATACAACAAGCAAAAGCTTTAAGTTTTAGAAAATTAGAGGTCAGTTAGGAGCCACTGTCATTGGCGCAATGTATGTTGAGTCCTATAAATTCTGCAAATGTAATTTGAAAAATACACCACAACAAGCAAAAGTTGAAACTACCAAACAAGAGGTGAGTTTGAAGCCACTGTCACTGGTGCAATATAAATTGACTCCTGTAAGTTTTGTAAAGGTTCATTTGAAAAATACATTACAACAAGCAAAATTGAATGAGTTAGCAAACAAGAGATGAGTTAAAAGCCACTGTCACTCGTGCAATATGAGATATTCCTGTAAATTAGCTTGATTTTTTTTGCCAAAAGTTTTAAGCCGAGACACTGGTATAGGTTTTAAACTAAACAAAAATTTGATAACCTTATGCTTTAAAGCACGAAGAAAAATCTTGATCTTTAAGGCCCTTATATAAATAACAAGTTTTTTCTTTTGTCGTTGCCATTTTTAATTTTGCAATTATTTTGACATTTTTTATATAGTTGTACAGCATACATACTTCATACTGAAAAAGTATGAAGCTAACTATCCTGAGAATATGAAAGCTGTATACATTGTGAATAGTGAGTATGTTAAAATTTATACTAACTAAAATGTGATCTAGAAATTTTATACTAATGAATATGATCTAAATTTTCATTTCATTTTCAAACGTGTATCTAAAATTACACAAAGAGTTTCTCTAGTGAAAAGGTAAACGTGCGTGACAGTGTCAGAAATATAGTTGCAATAGAAGCGTCACCCTACAGGTCCCTGGTTCGATCCTCGGGCCGGGCAAGGTTGACTCAGCCTTTCATCCCTTCAATGGGTCGATAAATGAGTTCCAAGCATGCTTGGGAACTAAACACTGGGGGTTCCGCGTTCGGCTGACCACCCGACAGGAACATCTGCTCCTGCACCTCAGAGCCCAAGGTCAAGAAAACTGAGATGGGCACAGCAGGCCTTGACCCTCTATGGGCTGTCGCGCCACTGAGTTTAGTTTAGTTTAGAAGCGTCACCCTTCATGGTTGTAAATATGAGGAGTGCACAGATTGCGTGTAACAGATAAGTAAGTTCGCATGATAGCATTTATAAGAAATGTAAAGTCACGCTAAATATGGTTGTGTACAGAACACAACAACGTGCAGTTATACGATATTTGGTAGCAGAAGGTGAGAATGCAGCGGGCTCTTGCTGTCAAATTATGTTTTCTGCTTAACACTAGGCTTACGGGACGCGTCATTTTGACGAATTTCGAATTTTATGAGGAAAATTACAAAACCCGTTTGCCTTTTTATTTTATCTCTTGTTATGACTTTTATCCACTGATTGAGTTAAATATTCATTGAAATCAATTTTCTTCAAAAGCGTTGAAATATTGAAATTCTCTTTGTATGCGCCAATTTGACGCGATCGCAAATTTAGACAAAATTTTGAGTAAGCATGCAAACATCACATCAATAATGAATAGGAATGTACCGACAATACTTCGATCCGTTGTCTGATATCGTTATCCCAAATGAAACAAGCGATTAATAACTGTTGCCGATAAGCAGAGCCGGATTATACCTTTCGTAGGCCCCAGGCATAGCCGTTTTTGGGCCCTCCCCTCCTTCCCCCCCACTCCTCCCCTCTTTTCAAAATATATGCTAACATTTTCTTGCATATTTTTTTCCACATTTTAATTAATATGGATTTTAATTTACAAACTTGTTTATCGAACTTTATCTGCAATACCGACATACTGCCGATATTGCAGTTGATATCGATAATACCATTATGATTAGTTCGATCGATAACTATGTAAACACTTCACGTCAACAATACAACAACAAACCAGCAAAGAAAACAGTGAAATTGATAGTGAGATTAATTACAAGAAATATTTATACAGTAGAGAACCAATTATCTGGGATGCTCGGGACCATCGCTATCCCGGATGTCTGAATTTCCCAGTTTTCTGGATCGACCAAAAAGTGTCATTAATCGATGTTTTATCGAACCCGAATTACAAGGAAATTACACAAAAATTTGTCAGAATCTGAGATTAAACTAAAAGCGCAAAATTTGGTGAAAATTTACTCATCCGATTTAGAGAAAAACTTTGTAGATGAATTTTTACTATTTTCAAATTTATATGAACATAAATCTGCACAAGAAATGTTGAAGGCTCAAATTAAAGATAAACTTGTGAATACTTTTCCTAACGTTCACATTGCATTAAGAATATATTTGTCGATTCTTGGATCAAATGCAGAAGGAGAAAGATCTTTCTCCAGATTAAAATTGATAAAAAATTATTTGCGTTCAACAATGAATCAAGATCGTTTGGCATCGCTCGCACTTATGTCTATTGAATACGACATTTTGCGTAGTTTGGAATTCGACAGCATAATACAAGATTTCGTTGAATCCAAAAATCGCAAAAAAGTAATATATTAGATCATAAGATTCTGCAAAATAATTTATTACCGAAAAATATTATATTTTTATTTGTATCTTCATAATTTTGTGCAAAATACACTTGTTGTTTTTAAAGCTAAATTATTTTTGTCAGCAAATTTTTTTCTCCCAAGTTATTCGTAGGCCCCTGAATTTCGTAGGCTCTAGGCACGTGCCTAGTGTGCCTATAGGTTAATCCGGCCCTGCTGATAAGCAATAATAGAGAGAACAAACGCGGAATGTCAATTGATGTCAGAGTGATGTCAATTGATCAGAGTGATGTCAGTTGATCAGAGAGATGTGTATGATAAAATTATAATAATAAAAACTTTCCATAAATCTCATATTTTCATTTTTTTCTTATAGTATGTAATTACATTGCTTTCTAAGTGTTGTTATGGTATTCTTTCATGCGTCATATTGATGCGTGTTCGTAGAGATAGGTATATAAGAAATGTCCGTAAACCTTAGTGTTAAGAGAAACACTGTATACGACAAACGGTCGTCAACATATAGAGTTGAATTTTTGTTTAAGAGTGTTCATAAATATCATATTTGTTGATATCCTGCACGCAAACGCCACGGTTTCCCCTAATATCTGTTGCTGCATACTTCTTATCTCGACTTTACATTCACTTTAAATGCTTACAAATGAACTAGTTAACAATTAGTTTTTTGTGCATTCCTATTGCATTTCTTTATATTTATGAGAAGTGGTGCGTCTATCTCTAACGTAATTTGACGGTATCACGCGAGCCATTTTTCATTTCCTACAGAAACTATATTAGTTTTTGATAGCTAGCTTTTGTTCGTAAATTTTTTCATTTGTATTTTTCTTAAAAAAAGTTTTTAACGTTTTTTTTTTTAAATCCTATTAGGAATTTACTTTATTTCTGTTCTGTTCACATTTGTTCCTATTTCATATTCTGTTAATATAGCCCGAAAATATGACTATGTTAGCCCGAAAATATGACTATCTAATTTTAAGTTATGCTTATTTCCTCATATTTAAGACGCATATCTTAAAAAAATTTTAGTATGCACTCTTTAAGTTTTTACTTGCGTTTTAACTAGCTATTTTAATTATTTAAACCACAAGATAATTGAATTATTGTTACTGAAGAATATGGTAGCAGAAAATATTTTGTAGTATGAATAAGTATTAATGAAAATATAAAGCATAATTAACAATTTTTTTCCATTGCCCACCTGGAGAACGACCTAAGTCATACAGGCACCTGAAGGGCAGTTTTTTATGGCCGCTCTTTCAGGGGTGCCATATTAGGTAGGCCAACGTTGCTCCCACAGTAAGGACAGATAGTACAGAGAATGAAAGAACATCCATGCCTTGTCCGGGATTCAAACCCAGAACCTTTCTGGTGCGAGGCCAGTTCCCGGACCCCTACACAGTCTGGTCAGCTGATTAACAATATTAAGATAAAATACTAGAAGGTTAGGAACAAAAAGAAAGTCACATGTATATCAATTTTCATCATTGAAAAAAAACTTCAACGCAATAATCTAAATTACACTTACTATATTATTTTAATTTATTCAGTTATACTTAATTTTATTATAATTAAACCATTCAACTAGGCGATAAAAACTTTAAGAATATATCTTTACTGACTGTATTTTCTCAGGGATTGTTTGAAAGTTCTGATACCAATACCATTAAAATTATGTGCTATGACGTAGCCGAGTAGACCTAGTTAAGTTAGATTATATTAGATTATGCAAGGTTAGGGTCTAATTACAATGGTGATTTTAGGTAACAATAAGTACTACGCCTTTTTTACGATATGGATTGCGATATTAAATATCACGCATTAATGGATTAAACTGAAAAAATAATATATTTGTCCAAGTCTCTTAACAGACTCCCTGTTATTTTATTTATTTAATTTGACGCATAAAAATGTAAGCAATGCTTTCAAAAACTTGTGTTATAAATTAGAATACTTTTGTTGTTGTTGTTGTTTCTAATGTCACATGCCACACTAGCAAGCCTGCTTGGTGAAACCGAGCAAATTTAAGGCAGAGTATGCGTTTCTCGTTTTTCAGTGGCGCCATCTATGTCCAAGAATTCTAAGAAAGAATATTTTCAGAAAGCACAATTTTATATTCTTCGGCAGTCAGCTCCCAGTTTCTTTTATTATCGCTCTTAAATAAATATAATTAGTAAATAATCCATCTATTATTATTTTAAAAGATAGTGTACACTTTTTCAGCTCCATCATTTTTTAACTTTATTTGGAGCTGGTCTAAATCTGTATTGCCTGAAACAATAACGTCAAAGGTGGAAATCTTACCTTCAGGTATTTAAAATTTTAATATGTATTTAATGAAACTTAGAAACAATACTATTTCGATGTGATATAAATTTAATAGTATATTAATGGTTGTGCCACGCCGTTGTTGATTTTATACTATAGTACTATGCTATAGTACTGCTGTTGGTGAAGGGGATCAATTATTGTGCTGAAATGCTTTTGTTGTACTGCACTAATAATTACACTGTTGTTGTTGTTGTCGTTGACATATGCCTGTTTAGGCAGAGGAGGTGCGATTGTTTTTGTTTTCCAGTGGCGCCATCTATGGCCAAGAATTCGACTTTTGCCACACCATACGTCACACCCGTTTATAGAGCGGACCCATTCATACATCCATTCATTCATTCACAGATCGTAATTTTGACCTGAATCAGAGATATTGATTTGTTATGGGAACATGGAGGACTTTTGCAACTCGACAGATTTAACGTGCTTCAGTCACTTTACTACACGGGGAGTCTTCGGTCGGCGGGGTTCGAACCCACGAACTCTCGGACATGGGCCCAGCGCCCTACCGACCAGGCTATCCCGGCCGATTATGCTTTTATTAGTGTACAATGAGCCAAAATAAGGATAACATCATAAATATCTTTTCTAGCAATCGATTTTTTATGTGGTAAGTGCAAATTTTAATCGTTCAAAAAGTTGTCTTCAATTATACTAATGAATTAATGTTTCAAATTAGTAAGTGCTACAAAAGACTTAAGTTACGAAAACAGGCACAAAAACGTACTTTATCAGAATAAGCATACCACTTTTTTCTGTGGATTTGGATTTTTAACCATCAGAGATTAAGGCCGAAGCCACAATCTCGAAAATATAGTCCAGTAGTTTAGTCGGGAGAAGGGTCGAAAAATTGGGATTCTTATCTCAATTTTAAGGTAAGCAAACTTTTGCATCTTTTTGATCTGTCTAATTTTAAATGACGAAATGAAAAACGTGAACGAAATCAGAAGAAATGTTTCGGAGTTATAAAATTTCAAAATAACTTTATTTTTAAATTATTATTTCTAAGACCGATTTCGTTCAAAGTTTAGATTGATATATACTATATATATATTATTAAACTTTTCAAGCGCTCTCCTGGCGAAACTATAAGGATCATATTTTCCTAATTTCGGCTATCACCATAATTTAGTAATCGAGGATTCAAATCAATTGAAAATAAAAGGTATGTTCTATCAGAGGAAGGTAACTTAGGAATTTTTTAAAGTTCTTATTCTTACCATCGTACTTAATGTACAGTGCACTAAATTAGAACTTATTTTGCACACTGTACTAACAGTTTTAAAGAATAAAATCTTTTATAGTAGCAGCGGGTAAAGATAGTATAAACCCGATCTTGGAATGAAAAAATGTAGTGACCCATTATGGCTTTTGAAAGTTAGTATAAATCGATTAAAAAATTGCATAATTTTACATTGTACGGTGAGTAGAATGAAAAAAATTATTACTTTGCTTAGCTTTAATCATTAAATAATCGGATTCTCATACTAAGTTGCAATATTAATTGGTTAAAACATCTATATTTGACACCTATTTTTCGTATGATCAATCAATATAACATGTGTCGAATATCTCAAAAAGGACCGAATAATTACAAAAATAAATTCAAAATGAACATGGTTTGCTGCCTTTTACAAAGGAAACAAAGAATTTATTCTCACTAAGTTTCAAATTTCACTGCTAGAGGAGATAAACTATTTTCAAAATGAGCGCATCACTGCGCAGTGTAGAGATAAAATTAACTAACATCCATGCAAATATTTCAGTTTAAATGACATGCAGCGAAAAGCATTGGTTTATACTTTTTCTGATCAACAGTGCCATCAGTTTTTAAACTTTTTAATTATACCCGGAAACTTGAAGGAAAGTTTTTTTTTTCCATAGCAGAATGCTGTAAACCATAGATTTTTATTTCTTTTTATTAGTCTTTCATTGAATTTTTAAATCATCCTACATTTTCGGTAGTTCCTCATTCATGTAACATGATAATCAAATTAACATCCTTCTTTTTATTCCTGAGTCACTTAATTTTAATCGTTTTTTTTAGAGGATGCGCCATCAATTATTACAAGAAATATCGATTCTAATATACTGCCTGTATCAATTGGAGGAACTAAAGTTGATGAAGATGGAAATCCTGAGTGTGCATCCATGGTATGAATTATATCATTTTTTGTACCTCTTTTAAAAATTGAAAACTTTGAACAGGATTTTTTTAAAATAACGGAAATAATGTGAATAAATATAACTTTTAGTATCAGTTAAATATTATCTATTATACAGACAGACCTTTGGTTAAATGCAAGAGTTTGATTAGGAAGTAGGAAGAAATCTGAATAAGAAATTCTTCTTTTTCACGTAAAAAGAAATCAATTTTGAAATTTAACTTTTCTTTTTATCATAATTAAATCTACATTTATGTGATAACGTGCACCAAATATCAGCATGATATTGAAGCAGAATTTCGCATTGTTTCTGTTTATCAGTCATTTGCAATTGAAATTAAAGAGATATGTCATTAATGTAATAAAGTAAGCATGGGATTCTTGACCCAACATATCTTTTTACCCATTTAACCCATGCACACCAGATTGCAGCAAGTATTATATGGATATCCTATAAGATATGTTTAATTTTTTTTAAACATTTTTTTTATTTACTTTTTTTTTTAATTTCCAATGGCAGACATGAACGACAAATTTGTAGCTGAGAACAATATAAAGAAAGAACAAAAAAAAAAACGCTTTTTGTTCTTTCTTTATATTGTTCTAAGTTACAAATTTGTCTTTCATGTCTGCCATTGGAAATAAAAGTAAAAAATGTTTAAAAAAAATTAAAGAGAAAAGTATTCTGTAAATAACGAGTCAAACAACCTATTTCTGGCGTATATAAGCATAGTTCAATAACTAACTAATTATTAAAATTTTTTTTAGTACCTAATGCCTCTAAATGAACCAGTCCCTGAAAGTCTAATGTTATATCAACAACTTGGCGTACTTGAAAATGATCCTGCCGCTACGCGAATCGTCGTGGAATGTGGATGTGCTTCTAGAATAGAACTTATGGTTAAAGAACCTAAAACTGTTATTCAGTGGGATTTTCAGACAATAGATTATGATATACGATTTGGCCTGAGTTTGAAAGAAGACGAAGCAGAAGAATCAACTGAAATAATAACTCCTCACAGAGTCGAGTGTCATATGTATCCAGAAACGGGAACTTTCAAGTGTCTCAATGCAGGACTATGTAAGTAATCTTCGATTTTAGTTTTTTTCTTCTCCCCCCAACCACTTGATATTGTCTTTTAAGTAAATAAATTATTCCGGAGATGGGAAATAGATGGAAGCTGTTTTTAGTTTAGATGGAGTTAGTTAGCTGTTTATAGTTTCCCCGGAAATAGATGGAAGCTGTTTTTAGTTTAGAACAAATGTTATCTTGTCATCGATTTGGAGGCTAGTTTAGCTCATTTGGCAAAGAAATAATTCTCTTCCATTAACACAGATCTAGAATACATACCTGATCAATATCGATGACGAATCGCCATACAATGCATTATAATCAAAAGATTTAACCCAAAACGATTCACTTAAACGCAAAGGTCATTGTCCAAACAAATGCCTAATTTAAAAACCTTCAAAAATTCTACATTTTGGACGGTTTAAAAAAGGTGAAAAAAATTCTGTAGTAAATAAAAAATTCAACCCAAATTGTTTTTTTTCCTTTTAATCTCTTTTTCTAAGGACGTATTAAACGACCCTCGGTTTTTAGATCTAAATGTATAGAAAAGCTCATCTTTTTAATTTTTTTTTTTTCAGATGAACTGGTGTTTGATAATACTTACAGTTGGGTGACAAATAAAGAAATCATTTATAAAACTAAAATCATACCTCCAAGTGAAATATCAAACAACTAAAATGTGAAATTATTGTTCTTCTATACATGAATAAATATTTCCGTTTAACAAATAATCTTTTCTGAAAGCTTTTTTTAGAGATGTTTGAACATACATTAGGTTGGTTCAAAGTTTTCATAGTTTTTAGAACCTAAAAATAAGTTAGGTTCACATGTATACATAATAAAATTTTACCCAATATGATTCTTAATGTTTAGAACAGCAAGAGCAAGAGATTAAAAATTCACAGTAAAAAAAATGGCTTTAGAAAATTTTTGAAAAAAAAAAAAATTTTAAAAGTGATACAAAATTTAATTTTGAAACTTATAAATATTAGTGTTAATTTATGCATACTAGTAAACAACTACAGATTATTATAGTATTTCACTTTTATATTTAAAGTGGTAATGAATCTTATTTAATTTCTTTTTAATTCTTGGTATTATGAATTTAATTTGATTTTGTCTATCACTAAATGCAAAAAAAATTAATCTTATACATACGAACAAAGTTATAAAAACGAAAATGAGTGTAAGCCATAGCAATTGTGAAAAGTTGAGGTAATCTGTAATTGTCTTTCACAGCCGCTTGGGAAATATTTCCTCGGTAAAAGTTGGCAGATTTTTGATTTATACATAATTTCAAAATAATATAAACTTGCGATGTATACTTTTCCTAATAAATATTGTGTCTCCATCTTTGCCGAACATTTATTACAACCTGAAAAATTTGCTATATCTTATGTGGTACACATAGTAAATGGTTCACAGTTTCACCCCATCTTTCATTTTGTTGTCTCTGGTTAAAAAATTTATCGTTTCTATTTTTCTCACTTTATTATATTATCTTTTGAATATCTGAGGGGTTCACTCCCAGCTCGCTCGTCAATTTTTAGAACTGTATCTCCAGCTTTTATAATTTAATATCTTTAATACCTTAACTTAAATTCTATTTGGGGTCCAGAATGCTGCTTGCAACCCCCTCCTCCACGGAACTACTCGTACAGTAGTTTTTCGATCACTTTCCTCACATTTCGCTTTGTTCTTGTTTAATATAGCATGGCTTTGAGGAGAACTCCTCCAGACTGAAAGTCTGGGGCTTTCTGTTGCTATGGTAACAAGCGAGAGCATATTTCTAATGGGGGTGAAATGGAGGAAAGAAGGTGTCGATTGTTTTACTCACGGCGACCTACGCTGAGATTGAGACAAAACTATTCACACCACACCCCTATTCGAAGTGACCTTTCCTCGTAACCATAGTACCAGCCACGACGCGAGACGGGTGTCTGGAGGAGTTCTCCTGAAAGCCGCACTATACCTCATTTCTTATACTTTTATTTATTTATATATACTTTTATTTATTTATTTTTAATATTTTAGTTTAATCATATCTCCTGCTCGTTATCGTACACGTATCTCTGAAAATTCATTCGTAATTGTACTGACACATTTTACCCTAGTTTTATTCAAATCTTCAGCAATACTCTAATTTCTTTTATAACTTTACTTTAAGTACATTAGAGTCTACGCCCCTGCTCGCTATCACTCTATAAGATTCGAAACTGATAAACGCTATTTTATTCAAATTCATTCACACTCTCTTATCACTTATCTGATTTACAGTTGAATCTAGTTGAATGGATTACCGATAATGCAAGAAAAAATCAAGATAGTGGAATGAATTGATATTCCTTCCTTGCGTAAACTTGTAGAACATCTTAAAAAATATATTGTGTGAATTGGCATAGAAAATATTTAATTTCTCGTAAAATTCCAGAAATTTAAACAGTGTGAGATGCAGTTCTTATCTTCACACCTAAAATCATACGTATGAAGATAAGCACTGTAAGAATTATGACAAGGCTGCGAATGATCTTAATTCTTCGATTAATAATTTTCACTGAATTGGAAACGTGGAGGATAAAATAAATAAATTTGAATTTTAATAATCTCAAACACTAATAAACGCATAACAACTTTTTGGTTCATTAACATAGCTGCCAACTCGGTAGCAATTTTCCAATCCAGCCTGTTATGTATTTTCTTAAATGAATTTTTTTTTATTTTTGCTGAAAAGGGGGCCAAAAAGTATGCCTATGTAATATTTGAACGACTATCGTAGCCTTCAAAGAAAATATATCGAAAAATTGTTCTAATTGGTTTAGAACGGTATATTTTATTTTATTTTATTTTATAACCGTCGTTGAACCAGCTGGCCCAATTTTGAGTTTACGACCACCAATGCTCAACTCCTCAGCCTTGCAATTTTAGACCCAGTCCAGAAGGCAAGGGAAATCCGGGATTAAGTACTGGGAGAAATATACCTTAGTGGAGGACTTTTTGATGGAACTAACACGGATTTGCGTTACTTGGAGAAGAAAACCACGAAAAGCTCCCATGGTTAGCCTGACTGCAAAGGAACTCTAACCCATGAACACTGAGGATATTTTTCGTCAGCACTGTGATCGGTGCAAGCCGGATGCAGAATTCGTATCGACCAGCCATCGCCGGGATTCAAACCCGGTTCACCTCATTGGAAAGTGAATGCTCTATCCCCTGAGCCATCACGGCTCAGAACTGTATATTGTATGAAGATCATACAATCAAACAGAGGTATTTTCCTTTTACATAATAAGCTTAGAACGTAAACAATTTACTCTCGTAAAAATTCACTCAGATAACAAACTTCAGATTCCTTGTTATGTCATCTCAAACTCAATGATTATTTGAGTGCAGATAAAAAGGAATAAAAAGTAAAGAAAGACTAATGCGTATTGAATCATACTTAAGAAAAAAGAGAAATAAATCAAATATTGATATTTTTTTCTTGGAAATGATAAAAATGAAAACAAATTGTGATTCTTCAACTTTTTATCACTGTCCTTGGGAAGTTGAAAAAAGGGGGATGGGGGAAATGAGAAATTCCGGAATAACGTTTTTTTTTACGCGACAAACAAATATTGATTAAATTGGCTGACTGAACATAAATGCGGTATTTTCACTTAATAAGTCATCAAAATTTAGTTGGTAAAACTGAGTCCATCAACCAGGAAAATAAGGAATCCAATTAAAGTTCGTAAATACAATTGAAGAGTTGATTGGAGGAATATTCTTATAATGAATAATCCTAGTAAATAATCTTAGTGAATAATATTTGTGAATATTCTAGTGAATTTGAGTAAATCAGATTTAAAGCTTCTTTGTCCGGGAAGCCGCCGCCGGGATAGAAGGTCAAGTCGGCAAGTTTTGCTTGTCCATCCAGAAAAAATACAAAAATTCATTTTATTTTATTTTATTTAGAAAACACAAATGAAATTATGAACGACGAGTTCTACATTTTTAAATTTCTATTTTGCTTGGAGAAATCAAATCGTAAAGCTCCGAGGTTTGAGCAGTAATAAATAGCAGAGGACTTAGCCTATTATGTAATTAAAAAACTTTAAAAAAAATTTTCAAGGTCTCAAAATTGGGATATTAAATAAAACTTTGGAGAAAAGAATGGAAATTAGGCTTTTACAAAACCCCTTTAATGTTACGTGGAAAAAAAAAGGAAGGCATTAATTCAAACTGCTAAGTATCAATTGTAATTTTAAAATAATCATTTTTAATTTATCCGTTTAAATGCTGATTTTATATAATTTATTGAATTATTATTAATTATTATGCATATTAACTGAAAAAATTAGGAATAAAGCCATATTTACTGTATCCGTATCTATTTTATTAATGTTCTCTTTTTAAATTCAACAAATAAAAATATTTTAAATAAGTTCAGAAAACTTTTTATTTATAAGTCAGAGATGCCAACTGCTTCGGACACGCCAAAATAATTAAAAAAACGGTAAATAACTACAAAGTAAATTTTGCAAATATTTGACTATTTTTGCTTGCTTTTTAAAAGGTATAGCATGACATACATACCTGCCAACTCTTTCGGATTTTCCGGAAGATTTTATTTTCATATTTAAAGTGGTAGCAATACTCAGGTTATTCCAATTAACTTTTTGAATTATAATGATAATTATAAATGAGTTTGACCACCACTACATATAAATAATTACAATAAATATATCAAAGCATAATAATCCTTGCTCAAGCGAAATTCAACGGGATCAAAATATAAATATATTTTTGAGTCAGATTGTTTTTCAACCACTCTGAAAATCCATTTTCGGAAAGAGTGAAAGTTGGCAGGTATGTGACATATAGCATGACTAAAATGTGATGAATTATATAAGCCAACGAATCGTTTAGAAATAGTGGTGGATAAAAATCTACTAAATTGAATTTATTAAACCAGGAATCACAATTGATAAACTACCATTTTAAAATATATATTTGCTCTCCGGAGCAAGTTGGCATCTCTGATAAGTAATCTATTATTCTTTTTTTTTTAATTACTAACATTATATTTTCATTTAAAAACATGATTCCTGGAATACCTATTTCATTTATATGCAGTGTAATAGACGAGATTTGCCGATTACTAAACAATTTGTTATTCATGGGAAGACAAATTATGTGGTCATCTTAGCTCCGAATTAATTTTGTTCCTTTTTTATATTTATTTATCGAATGGTTCATTCATTACTTATTAATTAGAATAAAAGTAAAGTATTCCCGCAACGGCGGTTTTTTGAGTTAGGGGTTCATAGAGGTTAAGACTTAACAATTTGCAATTGCTGATTGTGGCAATGTGGTCAGCATTGCGTATAGGCAGCCTTTACTTCCCAGACAAACTGCTACTCATCGATGATCGATCTGAAGCTGGATCGTCTTCAAGCCGCCACTAGCGATTGAGCTTCATTCACAACAGTTCACTGCTTTACCCGCTGACCAATCGCAACTCATCGACTGGAGTAATTAAGCATAAAGTCGTTAAATCAATACTATATTTGTGAGGAAAAAAATGACATATTGTGAAATATTAGGCACAAAACAATTTTTTATTGAAGCTAACGAACTACGCCGAAGAGCCATTACTTTATGACCACCCTACTAATAACATGTAGGACCACCTTTAGCCCTCAAAACTGCTAGCAACCGCCGTGGCATTGATTCCACAAGGTGCTGATAG